CAGACGCTTGAATAGTACTTCTAAGTTCGAGAGAAAGGTCGTCAAATGCTCTATTTTGAGTACAGTGGTCCTGGGATAAGTTTACTCGACCTCCAGGAGTTCGGGCAAACGTCCAATCAACATTACTTGACCTTCCGTATACGTTAAACCCCAGTAACGAAGTCGCTCTGCACCGATTATATATAATGCATAAGGCTGCGGTCAGGGAATTTATGCGCAAATGTAACAAGATCCCCATCCGGGGCTCGAACTAAGCTCACTGTCCAATGCAGAGGACCTTGGACAAGATGCATTGATCTAGGTCGCCCTGACAATATGAATAAGTTGCAAAAACGAGGTAAAGCCATTTCTATATGGCACAAGGAGGCTGCGACCAAAACAGAGATCACACCATCTTGGTCTTCATGACTTAATATATTAAAATTACTTACTTATGAACTTGTACCCACGCTTGTGAACAGACTCGCACTGATATATAACTGGCTAATCGAAGCAAATTCTAAAATCTGTTTTAATCTAGGCTTAGATTGCAAAGATTTTCACTTTTAAATCTTTCCAGAGCTTAGGCTTGCGTGCGCGGCAAGGTTCGCCACAATGTAACAAGGCTCTGCATTATGCCTGAAATATTTCAGTAAAAACTGAGCCGTTTTGATTATCTCGCAGCCTCCTGAGACATGGGACAATGACAATTAAGCGTCTCTAAGACTGAAGGAATCAGTCGTTGGTATATGTAATATTTAAAAATGGGATAAAGATCGGGACAAAGAATGCTTTAATTGAAGACGTTCGTTGATGCTTTATAAAAGTGGGCTCCAAGTGTCTCTCATGCAGGAATAGATAGGCTCAAAAATTCTAATATTTATCCTCTAAGACTGGCGCATGCACTTTTTACCTAGAAAATCTGACAAGAGAGACTAAATTAGTCCAGCTTGAGGTAAAAATTACAATTATCAACGCTTGGAAATTCAGCCGTAAAGATGCTACGTAACATACAACTTTAGCTTGGCGCATCTGTTAGCAGAAGTTCATATGGCTATTGCAAGAGGAGCCCATAATGTTCAAAATTCCACCGACAAATTTAGTATAGTCCTTTGTCCTTTAAATCAAGTTCGTTTCTGTCAAAGCTCCCCTCTCTTTTGAAACCCCTTTGTCTATGCTACTAATCAAGGTATTTTGTCAGCCATAACCAGGCCAAATTGATATATTAACCGTAGCCTAGTAATCCTAAATTCATCCAATATAAGGCTTCTGTATTTGGAAGGCTTTAGTTAGGACAAATTATAAGATATCAAAATAATACTTATATCTAATCTGAAAAGTATGTGATTCAAGTCATGTTACTCCCATTCCAAGAAGTGACTCATCTTGAATGCCTTAATGAGTCATGGAGAAAATTTATAAATCCTGGTTGCATGTTCATTTGTGATTATGAAGAAATTTACCAAATAGCATGGAGTCAGTGCATAGATGTGCATCTGGAACAAGTAAAAGTTTGACATACTTATAGTCATTCGCTTGCCACACCATATTGGTATTGGTATCTTACTCTTGGATCGTCTTTAAGACTTCTGCTAAAATGGATTAAATGTTGGCTCAATGATATTGAAAGAAGACGGCATCCCATTCAGTGACGGACTTATCAGATGAGGCCAGGAAAGCAGTACAGTTCTAGTAAGCTTCATATTTGACATTAGGAAGGTTCTCATAGAAAATACTATTGAACCATCTACCAAATATGCCTCATGCATCACTAGTCTCTGGAACTCAAATATTTGGAGGCCTCCAAAATATGAGAAACCAGATTAAGAAAGGAGTGATAATCGAAACTCCATTATGCCGCAAGCTGACTCCATTGATATAATTTTGTTTAGTGATATTTATAAGAGCAAAACGGGAGATCACCGATTTGCACCAAAGCAAGTCTTCCCCATAAAAATAATATAGGCAGTCAAAGTGTATCTAAGCCATTCACCAAATTATCTACTTCTTTTAGTTTAAATCTAATATGGGTTGACACAAAAGCTAAACCGATAATTAGCCATGCTACTGAGACTTTTTTTGTCTTAAAGTATGTAAGTAATGCGAGTTGAGGTATGAATTTGTATTTTTACATAGGCTTAAAGCCCTAATACTTTGGAAATTTTTCAAAATTTGTGACATCTAAACTAATTAGTCAGCCCAGTGGCATTTGAATAAGAATTCCCTATTTGAAGAAATTGTGAAAGCATGCATGCTAGGAAGCAATTTCGCGCTTGGATGGAAACATTCTTTCTTGGCCATTTGTGGCACATGTACTTCTTATAAGGAGCACAGCTTTCGGATAAAATGGAATAATACCGCTGCGCAGGGTTGGAAAGATGTGTCCATTATGCAATCATAGCAACATAAAAAATGAGATGATTTGACCCTTTGTTCTTATTTGTTTATGAAATCTCAAATCTTTATGCATTTAGAATGTTGATTAGAACAAACCATAAAAACAATAAAATGAGAGCGTCAATAAACTTTTCCTAGAGATAAAGACCCATAACATTCAACTACTAGTTCTTCATAATCTAAAAGGAATAAGCTGAATACACCTCATTTATATGGTATATTGAAATTCTGGAAAACCTACTTATAAACGAAAAATAATTTGTGAAGTTGATTGCTATAATAAATGCAAACTTCGCCTTATCGACTATCATATTCCGAGTCCCACTGGGGTTGCTAATGAGACCTGGGCGAGATGGAAACTGCAGTACACTCATACCTGGATTAGAATACCTTTTGGGAAGCAAGGAAATGTGAAATTCAATGGAAACGCACGGCCTACTGATAGCATTGTGGGAAAATTCAGCTACTATTCTTTCACCCCTTAAAACAAAATAGGGTCAATATATCCCATTTAAAATCTATGTTTATTGCATAGAAAGAGAGTATAATTTGATTCTAATCGTAGCATTCATTGTCAATGCTCCAAAATTTTTCTTTATTTTGCACTTAATAACAAGATACAACTACATGATTTTTACTGGCATTTTTATATGCTTATGGCCAGTTGGGCACGCGCTTGCCCACTAGAGGGACGAGATTTCTCCGGTTGTACATGTGATTATGACCTCGAGTACATGCATGCTATAACTGGCGCTAGATCAGGTGAAGACAGACAAGTCGCCCTTGGAAGCAGTTGGGTATGGAGGGGCTTGTGGGATTCTGTAAACTTGCTGTGAAAATTAAGAACTCCCCATTTATACTTCGTTGATTAGCAACAAAGTCTCAATAATATGGGCCAGGAAGAGTTTTTTCAACCTTATAATGAGATAGACTTTTCGTTTTTAGCCAATGACTGGAAATAAATCTCTCAGTAGCAATATTATGTTGTCTGAATTTAAGCAGATGTATGATGGCGAACAGTTATTCTTTGGCTGTAGACGGCTCCATTGGCAACTGGTTTTTGACGTGAAACCCCGCTGTGGCATCTGTATGTACTTTTCTTGGTCTTCGGTGAGTCCTGGTAGCAGGTCGTTAATCTTCCCAAATACACACTTGAAATACTAATTTGGCCTTTGTGAAGACTAAAATGTGCATTTACTCCCTTGATAAGTGAGTGATAATCGCAGCTACTATTTCCTTTGCGAAAAAGGCAAAATCACTTTAACTTTGATAGGCAATACACCTAAGTTCCTATTTGGCATCATGAGATTAGAGAAAAATAGTGTAACAAAAGTTGTATAGACTCTATGGATTTTAATATGAATATAGCCAAATAAATAAATAAGCATATACAATAAAAAACACATTTTTATTTAAACGGTTAGAAAGAAAAGTCCAGATTTCAAATTCTATAGTAAGAAATGTTGTAGTTAGATTTTATGCCCAATTAAGCAGTTGGCTAATTTTAACTTATTTTTTCAACTATGAAGATAACCCTGAGGTACTAGCTCAACTTTGTAATACCAAAATATCTCATATACTATGACCAATAATAATGTTTTATGTTGCATCTCACATCAGTCATTAGCCAACATTGCCAGGCAGTTAATTAATGGAAAATTAAAGAATAAGTTAGCTTAGATAAGCGTCTAAGGCTGAGTAAACAGTTTTGGCAATTGGTCACGCAGACACCTCTCCATGAGCAGGGTTCATTGAAGCCAGGACACAGTAAGCGCACTTAAAGAAGGATCTAAATGACCCAAATTGCATACTTTTTCTATTCACATGTACTCTTCACTAAGGTGCAGCCTGGACTGCCGCGATTTCACCTACCTTTTTTTTGACCTGGGCGCTAAGTCCGCTGGGGGCGACTTGGTTGGCCATGACTCGGTCTTTTCTGTATAGGGTGGACTACGAAAAGCTTCTAATGTCGTCCGCAAGTAGAGTCTTCAAACTAGGAGGAGCACAAATAAATTGAACCGTAGGACAGGGTAGCAACAGTAGAATCACTTACATCGCTCTCTGGCCCCGATTGATTCTATCAGTCTGTACGTCGGTATGGCTACCTGTCTGTTCAAAAATTTTGCCTAAACACAAGGAAACTCCTATGATGCCCTGACGCTTTCTCCTCTCGCCAATACAAAATCCCAATCCTTCCAATTCGTTCACCCCAAACACAAAAAGCTGTACCAGGGATTAGGCGCCTTACCTCGAGGTCTCAGCATCAAAAACAGGTTTTAGTATCCTAGGCAAGATGACGAGATTTTAGTTCAACCAATGGAGAATAAAGATGCGAGCCTATTTTTAAAATACTGGTCTTTTGGAAAGCAAAACTATACAGACTTGTGTAGTTGCATAGAGAAAGACACACTGGTAAATCAGGCCCTGACAAGGGAAAGTAAGTCTGTATACTGACAAATAGACACCATTCACAAAGAAGTGAAACATTTCTGGGCTGGAGAGAGCTCCCTCATTGGTTGCCCTAACGATCGGAATCAGGAACGAAGACGATCTAGGGTTAAACCAAGTATCATCGGCCAAGTACTAGGGTGTCATTGCAGAGGCGGATGCGCACAAGCGCAAGCATACATACCAGCTTTTAGGAGGATTTATAGTACTAAAAGCAAAGGTCGAGACATGAATTCGCCTCCGCAACTATGGCACAATCCAAGGCCAAGTCAGATTGGTGGATAAACGACCTTGAAGCAAAAGCCGTTCAAGGTTACAGAAGAGGACAATAAATAAGTAGTCCAGACTACAGTTGCTCCAAATCAATCTCTGTTTTCCCAATTGATGCGTACTAAGCCAAGGCCCACAATTATGCTCTCTTATGATCCATTATGATATTAATAATAAAGGAAATTATTATAGATACGAAGAATAACTGCCCTTCCATAGGGAATAAAAGTCTCTCCAAATAAGTATATTCACTTAATTAAAAAGTTAGTTAGACCAAGTAGCTTAGGGTGAGTTCAGGATTGATAGGGGAATTTTCCAATAATTACAAAAGTAGGCCTTATAGAGCCAATGAATGTAACTTGGCTTTGCTTACCAAAAGGGTTTTCTCATCCAGACCATACCCATCATCCAGTATAGGCTTTGTAACACCCTCAACGCGAATCGGGACCGCTATAAAGCCATTGCTGCAGATAAATTGCAAGAAGAATAATACTTATATTTCGGTTTGAGGGGGTCTTCGGGACTACCAGTAAATTATATATGAGTTATATTCCCTTTAGTAGTAGTGGTTTGACCTCATTGTCGCAACTTGGTCTTGTTCTAAGGGCGACTATGTAGAACGCACCTAGTCCGAAGTCGTCTGCCATAGTAGTTGTCATGATTCCCAGCAT